CAAAGCAATTGATGTTGTTTATGTTTTGAAGTTAAGGCCTGTTCGCGCGACTGACATGGTGGGAGTATTCATGGGATATCATGGAGCCAGTCACATACTTCGCCACCTACGCAACAGTGGTCGCCACCTTTGGTTATTATTTATATACACGACAGGTCAGCACCGTATTTTTTATATATTTCCGGGTCTCATTAAATAATTATAATTGAATCGATGAGAAATCATCATCATCATACCGTAAGAGGAGAGGGGTGCGACAGTTGCTACCACCTGATGAAAATTCAGTTTCTGCAGAGGGGAGAAATCTTCAGGGTAAGTGGACTATTTCGCTTTCGTTTCTAAACCCACCCCGGAGCTTACCTCCTATCAGAAAATCGGATAATTCAGATCATGAACTGTCGCACCTTAGGCCGGTGTTAGACTGCTAATCCGCGATTCGCTTGTTACGGCTCCGCGATTCACTTGTTGCGACTCCGCGCACTCGTTACTAGAAACGCTGGATTTCCAAGGTTTGACACCGGCCTTATTCCCCTCCCCTCTGAGACTCATGTTTCTTCATTATTATTTTGAGCTTATAACATCTCCGCATACTCGCAGGAGTGTACTTTCTTTGTCTGTGGTTTTCTTCATTGTTAATAGTAGCGCATTACAGTCTTTTGAATATCCCAGTTGTCGAGAGCGATTGTTCACTAAACAATTTTACAAACGGGCTATCAAACACGGATTCGACATAGAGAGATACAATAAACTCGTGACAGAGGTAGGCGTGTTATGCTTGAAAGAACTTGTTTTTTTTTCAGGATACATTTCATGAAAACAAAATTGGTTCCGATATCTTTTTATACTCAGGTTTTTTTTTCGTATTATCTTTTGGTAATCTTCGCAGATCTACTCCTCTTACCTTCGTTAAGTATGTCCGGGGAAGCTCCGCCCCTTTTACTCTTCTCCTGCCGCAAATTTCGTTTCCTCTTCCAACGTAACGTCTTTTTTCCCTCGGAATTCCCCTTCCTTCATGTGCCATCCTGTGAACGAAGAATCACCAGTTTTCCTTTCTCAAAAGAAAGGCGATATGATGCATGTAACAGTGCGCTTTCGATCATTACCGCTCTTTCGCAAGGGAGGTATCAGAATATGCGAGATCGCTAGGGAATCATGCGATTCGCGAGCGAATTGTCGCAGGACCTGACACCTGTCTAATGTGGTCCATTTTGTAATGACAGCTTAATAGTCGCTCATGTCAACCTTAGAGTGTTACGGCGGCAATAGTCGATTCTGTTGTCTTAAGATCTCGTAAATGGCTACTCCACATGGCGCTGCTCAGTAATTCCTGCAATGCACCACAGACGCGACTTCCTTCAGAACCGATGTCATTCGATCCAATTTGGCTTACTCAATGTATATTATGTGGGACAGCCAATGTACATTCCCATCTTTTATAATCTAGCGCAATTCTGCTATCAATTCTAATTTCCTAAAGTCGCTAACTTTTCTGACACACCACTTCAAGCATGTCGGAGTCGAACAGTTCGCCTTGATTGCCATGCACTGTGGTGCGCGGCGTGCCGTTCTGTAACGAAATATCGCTGCCGATGAAATAAGAGAATACAGATTGGGATATTTCATGGAACCTATTTCATGGTTTGTAAGAAATCGGGTCAACAACATATTAAGCAGCTCTGATTGTTCCCGTCCCTGGCTTGAAATGCGGGATCCTTTGGATTGTATCGCGTTGTAATTATTGAAAAAAGTTGGTATGCACGACATAAGCGGGGGCTAAATTTTAGGGGCAGAAAAAGTCGTTTCGAGTCTGAACTACTGTAATATACGACGGGTTTTTTGGCAGTTACAGCAGAGGTGCTTAAAGCTGAACATGCAGTAAAATAACCATAAGGGCTGGTTCAAACTGCTGGCGCCAGCTGGATGGAAAAATTTGTTTTTTCTCACTTCGGCATGCACTACGGGTATTGCACAGGTTGAGGATTGGGAAAGGGAGGACTTGTGATCATTTGAAACTCCATGTGACGATGATCGACGGTACATGTTTTGTATGCTGATGACAAAGTAGCACAAAAGCAGTGTTGGAGTCTCATCGCTACGCCCTTTAGGCTCGCGCTCATTCCCTGCAGTGCTGGAAGTCTGCGTAATCATTTCTCAGTCGAGGTGGTACATATTACTTGCTGCAGCTTGCCCTCAACTTTCGAATTTAGACTGGGTTGAGCTTCTGTTACCCGTTGTTAGAAATTCACATAGAAGCCGTGGGTCAGTTTTTTGAATTCTGTGACTGAGAGGCTATTTCGCTCACTATATGTAGGTAGCTGAAACCCTTCGCCAACTACTCATTTCATTCCTACGGGGTCGGCTATGGATTTTTACGTGAAAGGGTTTGCGGTACTGATTCGGCAGGAGTCCGCGTACGTTAATGGTAGGCCAATCACACAATCAAATGCACCCAGGACTCCGATAGAAGTCGAATGCGTGGCGCATAGTGTACAGGTTGGGAACCTTGGTAATCTCCTACTCGTTGGCTATTTTGTGCAGCTATTGATTGGTTTTCATGAGATTCTGCTGCTTTTCGCCAATCGTTATTGATGAGAATGTTATCGAAAACTTGCTGATACCAAGTACTTCTAGCATAACAATCTCGCAATGACAACTGCTGAGACTAACGACACTATCAATCAGAATAAGCCGAAAGCATAAACATTTTCATCAACGATTTTTCTCGCCAAAATGCCCTACATACAGTTCAGGGCAGAATTTAAAGGCTCACTGCCAGTCCGCTGGCCGCAGCTCCACATTTTCCTTATAGCTAAGACCATGTTTTCCGTAAAAGGTCTTGGAGCAAGGTAATTGAACTTGAGGTGGTGCAGTCGTCATTAGGGCCATGAACAATTGATGAATCCTTCTTGCAGCGCACGGTTGGTTAAATGAAGTGGTCACGATAATTCTCATAGGGACAATAAGGAAAATCCACTTCCGGTTAGCAAAAACAAAGACTTATCGATGTGGAAAGGGGTGCGATAAGAGCGTGCTAGATATGATACCGTTATCGTTATCGTCCCGTTTTCATTCTGGAGTGCACCTCTTATCAAGCAGCCGCACCTTCTTATCTCATCGTATCATATCTTCCATGGGCTTACACTCGTCCAACAATTACTGCCTCACACCTTATCGATTGATAACGCGAGGGTAGCAAATCCAGCGTGGAAGCCAGCGTGATCGCTTCCTTTAAGGCACTGAATTGTTCGCAGTGATGATCAAAATGTCAGTATAGTACATTTAAGTTTAGCATATGTTCATTTCTGAATCATATACTAAAATTGAGACAATACAGAGAAGATTAGCATGGTCCCTGCGCAAGGATGACATGCAAATTCGTGAAGCTTCCAATTTTTTTGAGAAAATCTTCGGTTGGTTGCGTTTCCCAAACCGACCTGCACTTCTATGGCCGTCGCTTAGTGTTATACTGGCCGTGTTAGTTGTTATATGAGTTTAGCTGCTTGATCATTGGTTTTGATTGTTAACTGCTGTTTGTAAGCGCAGTTCGCCTTGCGGAATTTTCACAAGGATTCTGGGTCGGGAACAAAACTTTCGCCCCAGACTCGAACCCGCACCTCTTGCTTACCGGGCAAGTGCGCTACCAGTATACGCTAACGGGGACATCATCACATTCCAACTCAGCGCGTGGAATACTTACCACAGCTTGTCGGCACTCCCACGTATAATTGTTACTATAGATATTATAGACATTGTGTTTCATTTCTCTCTCGTAAGTGCTTGAATCGACGACTCTTCTGCCCTGTTGATGATGCGACCATTGTGTGCGTCATAAATAAGAATAGAATACAACATATAATACAATATATCAAGGCGCTCGGTTAGGTTAAAGCCAGACGTCCCAGCAGGGTGGGCGTGTAGGAACGCGGAGCTTCTGAAGCATCTGAAAGAATTGTATAAACGCCGAGCATCTCCATTTTGTAGTTTGATTCAGATCATTTAATTGACATTTGCGGTGGACGATAAACACAGCTTCTACTCAAAAATCGCCCATATCGCTAAACCAGTTTTGCTCCGCCCGCTATCACACGGCAGGCTTTAGCGAAACTGGAGGACCCATGGAATATCAGCATGAGGTACTCCATTAACCACCTCACTATTGAATGTGTTAGACCTTTCCCAGTTTCGCTGAAGTCCATCGAGAATACGCGTGATAACGTCTGGAGCTGAACTGGTATACTAAATTACTCGAAGGGCTTGAGAATTGAAGGTCATTCATTTTCAGACGTTCTGGATAAGTTTGTGAGGGTAACTAGTTGAAGTAATTTGGACTCAATGGAATAGCACGTCGTCCTACTCATTCAGGTCTCTTACAGCACGTTATATTGCACGCATTTTTTCTCATCTATGGCATCGTGCTCGTAAGGACATATTCCCATAAGTTACTGGGCTAACATCTGGCCTTTGGAAAAGCAATGAAAAAATGAAAATTGCTTCCATATGTCAGGAAAGCTTAGACGAGAATGTCTGGAATTTGGTTGAATTCCGTTTACTTGTTCACGGGGGTTCGTCTGTGAGCAGTCTCGCCTTCGTTAGGCGGAAAAGGGCGAAAGAGGTCATTTGAAGCAAAAGTTTAGCTACCTGAAGCAATTCCTATTTTGCAGGTGGAGGAGCTTGTTTTCCTTTTACATTCAATCCGACGCCAGCAAAAGCGCCATGCAAAAGCGGGGTTACTGAAGTGAATTCTTGGACGATGTGCTTCCCCCTCTCGGTAATTAGACCCCGGGCTGCAAAATGGGAAGATCCTTACCATGTTACCCGAGTCGTCGCCCGATTGTCCCACTATGTTTTTCCGGAGATGAAAGTTGGCCAAAATGGAAAGGCTCTTAAGTGATGGCGCAAAGTGACCTAGCCGATACTGCTCAGGGAGTTCCTATGGAATCTAATTCTTTCGTAGAGAATCTCATGATTAATACTTCAGGGCCATCTTTTGTTGTATTTTTGTTTGCCACTTAAGTTTTTAAAAACAACTCCAATCACCTACTTTCTTTTTATTCGAATTTCGACGAGACAATTCCGAATTTTCGTCAAGTAGTAAGGAGAGCATTTATCAGTGTGACAGCTTGAAAGGTAATGAAGCGACGGCGAATTCCACGGGAATTGGTTTCATGCATACAGAGAAGCTCATTTAAAGCCGATGCTTCCTGGTTTTTTTGACTGCCCTAGTGAAGAATTGTGGATACGTTTTTTTTCAAGTGATTGGTTATGCAGCAATAAAGAAGGCCATCAATTGGCATCTGCTTGCTAAACGACGCAGAAATTCTCTAGAATGGTGCATTCGGCCGGATAACGATTCATATGGAAAGATAAAAGAGAGGAAGTCCTCGGTATCGAGTAATCTCAGAGAATACGAAACGTGTTCTATTCCCATACTTGGAATAGGTCCACAACGAGGAAATAGTGGAGCACTCAAGTCCCCATGCATTCTTAGTTTTCTTTCCTCAAAATCTTAAAAGTTCTCGAAAACTCCAAAAATAGGTAGGTCTCGATGAATTATTCCAGGGCGAGCTCTCCAGTACGACCCTTGTCTTCCTGAAAAACACCAAATTTGAACTTCTTAAAGATTCTGCGATGGTCTAATATTGTGGTCATGACACGTGCGTTCAAGTCTGACATGTCTACGTTGAGAAATATATGAAATTAAGGTGGAAGAAGTTCGTCGTCAGCTGGCTCGAATTCGCGATCCTCTGTTCCAACATCTGCCAGTCAGCTATCTCACAAAACTCGAAGAGGACGTAACGACCAAGGAAAACGACGCTCAGACTAAACATTCACCGGACGGTGGTTGAATGGGTGGTTTCGATTTGTGTTTCGGCCACAGTAATCCGCTTTTTCTAGCTTGATATTCTTGAAACGGTGTATTAATATCAAAATATTCAGCGCTAGTTTCGATTTCCACTAAGGATTCGTCTGTTGAAGATAGCAGCCTTTAGGGACAGAGCTCGCGCTGGATGTGGGCGTGGGCGTGGCGCGTCTTAGATTATCCCGCCTACACCCATATGCGACCTTTGTCTGGCAATGGGTCTTTTCGGTATGATATATTATAGATCTTATTATGAAACCAAAGTGGTCAACTAATTCATTTAAGGATAAGATATTTGGTGAGAATGTATAATGCCCTTGTATCTAATGATTAAATGTAAAACTGATGAGCTGTCCTTCTGAATTTGTTGCCTGGTCGCTTATAGATATTTTGTCTATGTTCTGCCTCAGCTTTCTTGTTCTCATGATAGTCATATAAGATTCGTAACTGAAATATGTAGTGAGTATGTATCTTATGACTAAGCCGCCCTTCCCCGTCCGCTTATTAATAGATAGTCACATTCGTAAAGGCTTATCCGGCTGCCTCCTGAAAGAGCGATGAGTTTTCATGACCATGCGAGTACGATTTTGGAAAGTATCTTATCGAGGTTGTCGCGGCAGGAACTCTAAGTTTGACTTTCCACGAATTTCGCAGCATTTTCGGAAGCTCAGGACTAGAATCTAAGAAAACCCTGGATGACAGGGAAAAGGTGCTCTCGAAAAGCTTCGCACTAGGTTTCTGGTTCCAGTGTTAGGTGTCGGAGTTGTTGCAAAGGTTTTGGGTCTCAAATATTTTTTTAAATCCACACAGGGTTCTCGTCGCGGAGTCGGCCGTTCAACCCCTGGGAAATCTTTCCCCTTACTGGGATTCAAATCCATGAAAGCTCGTCCAGTGCCATATGAATTAGCATAGGTTTCAAGGAACTATTATGTAATGATCTAAAGCTTGCCTCAATAAAAGTTCAGGATATTCTAAAACTATTTCTTGTATAAACAAATTCATAGTCGCGTGATTGCGCCATCTTGTTCTTATACCTTTATTTTCATGTATGTAGTTAAATACAGTGTGACCTCTTCGTAAAAGTATTAAACATGCTTTGTAATTTATTTGAAAGATTTGATAATGTAAGCTGTTACCATAAAATTTAAGCAGTGTGTGATCTTTCACTTATTTCAAAGTGGTTTTCTGTGAGAATCGACGGTGTCTAATGGACATTTCCAGATTTGCCCCAGTGTTTAAGAAAGCGCTATTATTAAGATTTTCTAACGAAATCGGAGTCTAGCATGCATATAGAAACGTTTCTCCACAAAAGATTGCTCATCAAGAAAACTACCTTCTCTTCCTTTGAAGTGGCCGACTCGTGTTGTCCCTCCGACATTCCCAACCAAGAAAAGACTTTAAGGTTCTCTCCCGGTCGAATGAAAGGTGAATTGCTGCCTAATATCGGGTTCTAGCGAGTATTACAGAAAGGCTCCAAAAGGAAGCTTTTGTTTGAGTTCAAGAAGGAAGACCCGACTGGCATCCGCGAGTTAACGACAGATCTGGACCAAAGGCCAGAGGTAAAAACTATGCTCAGCAAGCTGAATTTCTTCCTTCTCGGAAATAGTTTTGTGAAGTGTTTTCGTGAAGGGTCTAGTTTTTCATGAACTTTTTTCGCAAGGTGAAGTCGCACGACCTCAGAAAAAGCAGGCCGCTTCTCTTGCTCTGAAGCTGTTGATGTTTGTTTTGATCACTGGTCCTGCTATTAATGGGTACTGGTTCCCAATGCTAAGCCCTGTTGTATTTTGCCAACAACACAGATGGATCGAATTCAAGGAGGTTGGGCTTTTGCTCTCAGAACTCTCAAATCGTTCAGGTTAGGCTACTGCCGCTTGTGATTTGTATAACATTGTACCCAGTACAAGCTACCTGTGAATATGCTGGATGGTCAATTGAAGGAACCATGTGAAATCAACAGAACATGCAATACAACTTTCTGTCGCCGTCTATCTATCGTGCGCTACCAGAATGCTCACCAAAAAATTCTTACTAGCGAACGCATCAAGAGGAAACATGCGATCTCTTCGGAAAAATGCTAGCAGGGCCAAATCGAGTTGTCGTGAGATTGGACTATCTGTGCTTTCCTATTAAAGCTAAACTGTACAAGACACCCTGCTGTAGGATCTCCACTCCCTAATCCCTGTTTTAGGTTCATGGTTCGTAGAGTTCAGATCCCACTCAAAAAAAGAAGCAACGACTTTATATCAGTCACAATTTGATCACGCGCGAAGGAATAGTAGTTTGGATCGCCAGAAAAGACGAAAATCCACAATTCGTGAAGTGTTAATTGACCCTCTGAGGGGTTTCGAATGTCTAGCAGTGGAATCTCCTGCTTTGCTACAGCATCATAACTAGCAAAGTCTACTGTGATTAAGGGCAAAGACCGGGAGTCAAATTGCAACAACTGTTCCTAACTCGAAAAAGCATGCCAGCTTTATAACAACCGAGACCACATGTTTCAAAAGATGCAAAGCTCAAAGACCCCTCAAATACACCGCGTACCATGCGGCTGACTCAACATTCCCTCCTGATTGCTATCTGATCTTGTTGCTCGCTAGCCATTTTGTGTACAAACAATACAGGGTGGGCCAAATTATGGTAAGCAAGACGTTATATCACCAAAAACAAATAGGTATTGGGCTAAAAAACAAATCCACATCAAAGGAGTGCTGACAATTATTCGGTTATCTCACCAAGCTAATTCACCGATTTGTATTGACAATGGTATAGCTTTAACCCTTAGACTACGACTTTTTTAGAAACAAGTTATCGATGTGTTTTGTGTAGTAACAGTCGCTCCTAGCAACAACTAATCATCTGTAGAAATTTGGCTGACGCGCGCTGGGTTTGAGCTGGGATTCGATCCAGAGACCATATGCGCGGCAGTGGCCCCTCCTGTCACCACACCATCTCCGCTCGAATGAGCATTTTTGAACAGTTCAATAGACCATTCAACAAATACACATTTATCACATCTCATTCGTGGAACAAGGCAATGTCCGGTTGGGAACGCACTTGAAAATATGTCCAAGTTCGACTTTGTATGAATCTTGGCATATTTTCAGAATAGAATAGTTTAGTACTGAGCTTCCGACCAAGATTGTCAATAGCTTTATTTGGCCGACGTTTCGGTGCTTTCACCTTCTTCAGAGCCTGGAAAAGTCGAAAGCTATTTAGGAAACTACCCGTCCAAACACTATTTCAACCTACAAGATTCATTCAACAGGGAGTAAACTACTAAAACAATGCCATGGAGGGAAATGAGAACGAACCTTTAGAGATCGCCAAGACGAGGTCCCACCTGCTCACCCGACTGGTACGACTGGTAGTAACGTGGCTTAAATAGGTAAAGCCTTCAGGTCATTTGCTTTAGGGACCTCCGGAGGGTTGATCATGTAGATCAAATCACTCCAAAAGACCCCTCGAGGCTAGGCGCGCCGCTGAACCCCCTGAACCCTTATTATTGATTACTATGCAGTAGCCCCCGACCCCGCCCCGCCCCCGTCAGGAAGACCCCGCGGGGGATTGAATTACCGGCAGTGTGAAACCCGTCCATCCTCTGACTGGTTGGCGGCCCTTGCTTATGTTTCACCTGTTTCACAATAATTGAGGGAAATATTAGAACCATTAACACAATACAAAGAATTTGAGACTCGAAAACTACCTTTTCGGGAGCTGTGCACACTGCCCAGTAACCTGTGGAACGACTTGCTTATCAACTTATCCAGCGTAACTCGCTTAGACTTCTGATACTTCGCTGACAGAGTAGAATTCACCACCAAGTTTCTAGTTGTTCACAATTCCGCCATA